CTGTTTGTTCTGTTGTTGGTTGTTTGTATACTTCTCTTATACATGGCCTACTATACTTCTGTGTGTTTGATTATGAACAGAGCTTAAAGTTTAGGCTTTTCTACCTCTATGATTTACTACTTTTCCAAAGTATACTGCAGTGATTATAGCTGAATGTTAGATCATTTCTTTATTATAACCAACTATCTTATAAAGGGATAAACTTGGAAATATTAAATTCTGGTATTTTTTCCCCCATATACGGGGAACTCTAGTGGCAAAAAACTGTGCTGCAATCCCAAAGGCATGCTGTTGGAAGCCACCAGCTGCTCTGTGGGAGAAGGATGGGCAGTCTCCTCCCATACGATTGAAAACCAGCCAGAGGGCCAACTATGGGTCAGTCCCAACTCTATGGTACACAACAACAAACAACAATACAGTAGAAACACTGCTTTCTGACATTATCTAGACTAACAGTGTCATATTAAAAACCTCAGTAAACTTAGAGAATCACTTTAAAAGAAAGCCTACCTGCCGTATTTTAACATTACTGTTGTTATGTACCTTTGAGTCAAAACCTCCAGTGGAATTTGAGGCAATATATTGCATTGGGAGATTGTCCATCTTTCTCCTGCAGTGCAGCTGGTGCATTCAAACTGCATGCCTTTGGTTTAGCTGCACAATTCCTTATCACTAAAGCCACTAGAGCTCATACAACATAGAAATCAACATCTCCTTGCCTATCATTTGATAAGGAATCTAGGCCATTTATCTAGACCTTTGCCGACCATTGATTCAACTTTGCCATCTTTCTTGAAGCACACCCATAATGCAGTGTCTGCAGTGGAAAAGACGTTTGCGAAGTAGTGTTTAGTTAGTATGCATCTAGATTTTTGTTATGTGATCTTTTAAAACTGTCACACATACCTAGTTTGAGTGCATTACTATCTTACTGAAATAGTCACAAACCAAGTTTTGCTAGGCAAAGAACACAGCCCCTCTTTTGCAAGTATGCAACAAATACGTATGTGGGCATATTGGCATATTGGGAGCTAGCTTTCCCATTCTTGTCATTCTGTACAAAATGGATAAGAATAGTTAACATTAATCGATCCATTAAGAAAGTTTTTTAGTATACAGTATGTTCACTGTGTTTTGAAACGTACTCATTTTCTGCTGCATGTTGTTGATTGCCATCGAGTCAAGCACGACTCATAGTGACCCTATGAGCAAAAGGCCTGCAGCCTTTCTAGAACTATCATATTTATCACAGTTCATAGAGCTTCCAGAGGCATGCTGTCTAGGAAGTGGATGCCACTCCTGCTTCCAAGCTTGTTTTAATTGGGGAGCTCCACCAAACACTGTCCACCATGGGGAACCGTTACGCCATTTGACACCCCAGTGGCACAAGGATCAGCATCACAGCAACCCCAGGTTACCTCAAAACAGCTTATTGACAGAACCGTACTACATAGATCCATAGAAATAACACAAAATCAAAAAAATAAAATTCTGCTTTCCAAGTAATATTAATTGAAAGCTGTATTTTTTGCCATTTATATATACAAGTGATTGGTTTGAAATTGCTTTTGTCAGAAAATAAGATAAAATTTGCATTTGATAATTAAAAAGAAATGAGAGATCAGTAAATTTGGAAAACAATTTGACAATGTCTCCTAAACTTGAACATATTCCTAACATGTGTTGCAACAATCCCCAACAGGAGACGGGCTTGGGGAGGGGAGGGAGAATGTGGGTGAGAGTGTGTGTGTTCCCTGACAGAGGTGTGGTGTGGTGTTAAGTGTCCTCAAGGTAGAATTCACTCAGAGTGACCCTCCAAAGATTTTCAGAAGCTGTAAACCTCATGGGACTTGATGCTTTTCTTTCTTCCTCGGAGAAGCCAATGGATTTGAACTACATGCCGTTGTGCTCGCAGCACAGCTCCTTACCATTGAGCCACTAAGCTCCCTAAAATACATGTATAAGGTTTATACTATATTTATTTTACAAAAAAAATTAATTGGAGGCAGCCTGATTGCCTTTCAATAATAGAAAGGATATGTTGCAATGTCCTTAATCAGTAGAGTATTACATGCAAAAAATGAGAATTAAAAGCAAATATATAGCACTAGTAGTGAATGTCACTAACCTAATGTTGAATTAAAGAATCCAGATGCCCTTCCCCAACCAAAAAAAAGGCATATCATTTTTATGATCAAAACCAGACATAAGTATGTCATAGCATTAGAAGTAGAATGCTAAGTACCTTTTGTCAGCAAAAAAACATAAGATGACTTCTCATGAGTTCTGGAAATACTTTAGCTTGGTTTGTTTGTTTTCTTTGAGTATGTTCCTTTGAGCTGTATACTTATGATGAGGGGGGAAGTGTATGATGTACTTTAAAAGTTATTAAAAAGAAAGGAACTATGACTTTATCAGATGGAACTAATATTAACAAGGTGACCTTTGTAATAAAGATACACAGAAATGAGTTGGACCCTGGAAAGGATTTCAGAAGCTTTCATTATGGAATCTATCAAAAAAGGGGAAAAAAAACAACTTAAATTTTAACATCTGAAGCTAATTTAGTTATGATAACTCATTTTAGCCCGTTTTGTTATATTTTGTGTGTTTAGTATTTGAATTATGAAACTACTGAGGATTATTGAATAAGCATTTAATTATAAACCATAAATCATTTTATCCTGATCCTCTATAAAGCAATTTGATCAGCCTCTTTATTTTTAATTCAGTTTTAAAACAATTTTTGTGTGGATGAAATACTATTTGAAAATTGAACAAAAATGTGTTTCTTTGGGCAAGAATACACAGTAGTAATTAACATATTTTTTTATTTAAATTGCACATTTTTTCTTCTTTTAATTTTATTATTTTGTGTATGTATACCGTCAAATCAGGTCCAATTAGTACAGGAGAAGATTGCTCCTCCTTCTGCAGCAGAGCATCTGGTGGATTCAAACTGTGTACCTCCGGGATTGCAATGCAGCTTCTTGCCTCTAGCCACCAGAGCTCCCTAAATTACCCTATTTTTATATAATACCCTTATACTTACAACATTCATGTCTTCTGTTCCTTTGGCTTGAAAGGGAAAAGAATTATGAAAATATTCTGGAATGCATTTACTCAATTTATACAATAACCAACAAAAATCAAATGTGTATTAGAATCCGCTCAAAAGAATGGGGAAGAGGATAAACCATTTACTCATGGGAATGACTGAATTTAGAAGACAACTTCTTTTCATCCAATTATAAAATATATGCTAGCCTAGCATATTATTATAAAAACAGCAAGGACAAAGAAATATTCAGTTGCTATGTTTATTAAATGTGAAACAAAATTATACATAACCTCAGTAAATATTACTTCCCTCTTCAATGAAATTTTAATTGGATGCTTGATAATAAATAAAGAGGAAAGTCTTGATTTGTCAAGAAAATAACAATTCTTCTGTTGTTTTGTTGAAGACTTAGCGTGGCTCTTCTTGCCTCTTGTGATAATTCCCACCAATCACAGGGGGGTGTTTTGGGCCATTAAGTCGGCACCATCCCTTAGCTGGACCCTCCAGCAGTTTTTCAGAGGCAGTAAATCACAAGGGAGGAGATTGTACATTCTTCCCCGGAGGATCAGTTGGTAGATTCAAACTGTGTGCCTTTAGGATCACAGTGCAGTTTCTTACCACTAGGCCACCAGAGCTCCCCAAGTTATTATTAGGTGCTGTCAAGTTTACTGTGATTGACTTGTAGCAACTCTATATATGATAGATGAGAACCTTGCTTTGATGAAAGTATAAATATGGCATGCTTGTGACCTACTCAGAGGAACATAGAAAAGGTACATGGCACTTTTAACAGTGGCACCATAAAAAGAAGGTATATGAAAAACCCAGATAGGGATCGGTCAGTTTTGCCATTCCATTATGTTTAAGATGGCCAACTGAGAAGTAGAAAGGGAGACTCTGTGCCATAAAGAAACAAAATCTGTCCTTCAGACCTCATTTCCTGCACTGAATCTCTGAGAGAGTATGCACTACAGTCCCGAAGAGGCAACATGAAACAGAAGAGAAACAAGCAGCAGAACCAAAAGTTTGGCATGAGACAGCACTGTGGGCTTACTGCAGTGGAGCCTGAAAGCCGAGCTCTTCAGGACACCACTTGCTAGAGGAGACTTAGTGAGCAGAGCTAGAGGAATTTTGTAGCACATGCCTAAGCAGCAGTGAGGCCGAGGGCCAGAACACTACCCAGAGAGTCCTTCTGTAAGCATGGCTGAGGAGCAGCCCTCACCAAAGAACTGTGTTCTGGATCAGTCCCGATCCTGAATCGTAACCTGTGAATTCCACATCATTTTCTGTCAGCCTTCTTATATGTTCATTTCAAAATGAGAGCATGTTCTTTTTTTATTTTTTTACATGACCATGTTAGGAATTACCAAATAACTATGGAAATAGGAATGCAGTCTGACTAGTGACTAGGAATGTAAAGATTTAGCCTACAAAGAAAGGAGTATATTTAATATACATTAGTATGACTTAATATGGTTACTGCTTTGGGCATGTGGCCAGGAGGGACCAATCCTTGGAGAGGAACATCATGCTTGGAAGGGTGCATGGACAGCACAGGAGAGGAAGACCCAGCATGAGACGAATGGAGAAAGGGGATTATGTCTGTCCGAGTCAGTGAGTCTGGCTCAGGATAGGGCAGGGTTCTGAGCTCTTGTCACTATGAGTTGCAGGCAACTCAAAGGCACATAACAACACATTATATTATATATAGTGTTGGATTCGCTAGAAGGGAGTTGCTTATGGGAGACTTCTTTGGCTGTGATTGAGGATGGTAAATCTTATTCATTGCATTTTCATCTTTCCTAAAAGCAGTACCATAATTTTTTAAAAAGATACACTTTAAATGCAAGTGTCTGCCTTACAATCTCTAGTTGATAGCTTTGAATAAATTTAGTATTGCTACATCAAAATATTTAACATACTCCTACTCTTTTCTTAGGATTTGGGACTTGGAAGGAGGTCAGACGGCTCATTTTGTTCTTCGTTCTCCTGGGATGAGTGTGTGCTGGCATCCTGAAGAGACTTTCAAGGTTAATATTTACGACTTACACTGCTCTTATCAAGCTGAAAAGACATACACAGATGTGATAACATGTACACCTGCAGGAGAAAAACGATTGACTTTTTCACCTCAAAGATTCTAATTGGCAAAAACTGCATTTGGATTAGTTTGGAAATCTCTAACGTAAAAGTTTCTAATTGTTTTGATTTGGCAACCATCATCCCCAAATGGCAAGTAGCAGAGTTTCTTTTTCCTGCCCTTTGCTAGATTACAATCTGAAAGTATTATTGATGGCAACTTGTTACAGTCACTTTATCAGTCCATCTCCTGGAGGGCCATCCTTTCTTTAGCTGACCGGCTACTTTTCCAGCCATGGTGATTTTGTCCACAGGCTGCTCCCTCCTGAAAGCATGCCCAGAAAATGTAAGATAAAATCTCACCATCCTTGCCTCTAAGGCCCATTCTAATTACGCTTCCTCCAAGACAGAATTATTTGCTTTGGTAATCCATGAGATACTCTGTACTTTCCATCACTGGCACATTTCAATGTTGTTGTTGTTTAATGTCGTCGAGTTGTAGACGACTCATAGTGACCCTATGAACGAACAGCCTGAGCACTGCAATAGCATCAATTATTCTTCTGTCTTTATTTATGGTGAAACTTTTAGATGTATACAGAGCAATTGAATATACCGTTTCATGGACTAGACACAACTTTGTGCTTAAACTGATGGCTTTCCTCTTTAGCACCTTTCAATCTTACCCATAACTTCAGAGAGTGTAGAAGTCCCTGCTCTAAATCACATAAAGTCAGAATCCTAAAATCGTCTTTGACTTCTCCCTATAAACATGTCAGACACACTTTCTCATTCATGTACTTCACATTCTCATCCTGTAAAATGAATCCCTATAGGTATTAAGTTAAGTGAATGTTTGTACGTCTTTAAAAGAGTACCTGCAAATATACAAATGCTTAATTTTTAGCTGCTTGACATTTTGTACATTATTATTACTACTATAAAAATTCAGTGGTTTTTAGCATTTTGCCATATCAAATCAAGCCCAGACTTGTGTCCTGCTCTGATTGACTTGATGAAAATAAAGCAGACAGGCAAAGCCAGAGAAGAAACAGTTACATCCATGGTTACCCATCTCGGAATTCTTATGAATGTCTTAGGCCATATGTAGTTTATGAAAGAGGCCATACAAGCTAGAAAATCCAAAATGACTATGAGCAATACCTGAGACCAGAGATTTCCAGAAACTAAGCTTGCAAGTCTTGTAAACCATAGTGGTGCAAATGCTAATAGCAGATCCAAAAGTCTGGGATATAAATTAACTGACAACATCTCAGTCTCTGAGAAGAAAGAAGGTAAAAGTGGCTAAATGAAGTGAGATTTACAACCAGCGTTTGTTGTTCTTCCTCTGTAACAGGAACTGTGCTGAATGCATTGGTATGTACTTATATTTCCATTTAATACCCAAAACACTTGCAGGTCAGTGGAATTATTCAATCCATTTTACAGAAGAAATAAGTGACACACTCAGAAGTGGAATAATTTGCTGCCTCACAGATTTGAACTGGGTCTGGGTCAAGGACTACACTGTTCTGTGTAACATCAGCTGCTTCTTCCATGGAAACTGAAACAAAGTGCATAATATGATTCGTATCTCTGTAAGGTCCTAAAGGCTTGTGATGCCTGTTTAAGTAGGATTGTCATTTGGAATTTATCAGACTTGAAAATCTAGATTTATTTTATATTGTTGTTGTTTGCCATTGAGTGGGAACCGCTCCAAAGCTGACCCTCCAGCTGTTTTTCAGAGGCAGTTAATCACATGGGAAGAGATTTCCTATCCTTCTCCAATGGAGCAGCTGGTGGATTCAAACCACATCCCTTTGAGATTGCAGCACAACTTCTTACCACTAGGCCACCATAGCTCCCTGATTTGTCATAATTTATTCATTTCATGGATAGATATAAAATCTATGATAACTTCCTTTGAACATCTTAAATCAGTGATCTAAGACCCTACATGTCCCAGAGTAAAGCTGTGCTCCACAGGATTTTCAGTGGCTGACTTTTTGGAAATCACCAGGTCATCTTCTGAGGTACCTCCAGGTGATATTAGCCTCCAGCTTTTTTTATTAGTAGAGGAGCAGATTAACTGTTGGTATCACCAGAAATTCCGTATCTTAGTTAAGGAAATATTGAAGTAATGTTGCTGCTGTTGTTGGTGTGCCGTCAGGTCAACTATGACTCATAGTGACCCTGTGAACAACACTACTGAACTTTGCCCTATCCCAAGCCAACTTCACCATCTCTGACACACCTGACCTTTTTGTGGCAATCACCATGTCAGTCCTCTTCACTCAGGTCTTCTTTAATAGTAACCAGTATTGCTGGAGTGGTAATTATGTATCAACTATTGTAATATACGTGTTTTACGAATTGTTGTTGTTCTTATTAGATGGCACAGAGTTAAGTATGGCTCATAGCAACCCTGTGAACAACAGAACCCTGTCCTCTCCTCTACCATCCACACTACACCCAAGCACATTGCTGCAGTTACTGTGTCAGTCCACCCTGCTTGAGGGTCTTCCTCTTCTTCAACATCCCTGTGTCTTTCCAAGCATGATGCCCCTCTCCAAGGAACAGCATCTTCTGGCAACATGCACAGAGTATGTGAGATGAAGCTTTTATCTTTTGCCTCCTAGGCGCACTTTGGCTATACCTTCTCCAAGATTTATCTGTTTGTTCTTTTGGCGTCCATGGGATGTCGGTATTCTTCAACACCACAGCTCAAAAGCATCAGTTCTTCTGTTGTTTTTAGTTATTGTCCAGCTCTCAGATGCATAGCAAGTGACTGAAAAGACCATGGTCTGCATCAGGCACACAAGCAGGTTTCACACAAGGGACACATTAATCATCACAACAGCCCTTGCAGAGTCACAGTTCTTATCTTCACGTCTCCATTTTGGAAAAGAGGAAACTGCTAATCAAGGTCCTGGAACTTCATCTTATCATTGAGTTTGGGGCCACAGGAAGCAGCCTGCTCTAGCCTGTCTCTGTTCTTTCCGTTATGCCAGTCTGTCTTCCATTCTGAAACTGTATTGGGCTTGGTAACACATAAGTACATCTTGATTCTCTTTTCAAGACAACATAACTTAGTGTTAACTTTCTCCAAAATAAATCTGAAACTGATGCTTTCTTTTGAGTCGGCATACATCATCACTTAAAATGGCACCTAATTTTTATGATTCTTTTTCCAGTTTTCTCTAAGATTTTCTGAATTGGCTATTTTTGTCTAGGTTTTTCTTCTTTCTTTGGCATATTATCCATGGGTGATGTATGCAGATGTTTAAGTTGCATGGAATTTCTGACTGCTTCTCGGCTTTTGTTGGTGAGATAAATGGCAGTGCCTTGTTTTTCTGTCTTTCAGCTGATGGTCGCAGAGAAGAATGGAACAATCCGATTTTATGATCTCGTCAGCCACCAGGCTATTTTATCTCTTGAATCAGAGCAGATACCACTAATGTCAGCACACTGGTGCTTAAAGAACACTTTCAAAGTTGGAGCTGTTGCAGGCAATGATTGGTTAATTTGGGATATTACTCAATCCAGGTACTCCCATCGTATATTTATATTTATTGCTTGTGAGAAATCAATCACTGCTGTTAGATGATCCATAGAGCTATCCTTTTATACTTGAGCCTCACTTAGAGCAAAATCACATCTCTCTCAGAAGAGCCAGGGCTGTGAGGTTTTGCGTAACAAAAATGTGTTACCCACGCTCTGCAGGTTTACTAGGGAATAAATCAGAAAGAACCGTGCGTAGAAGGAAATCTTTGTTTACTTATGTCAGGAGTGTAAGAAAAACACTGACCTCGTTGAGGGATGGTGTCCTGTAATTCTCAGTCATGTTTATCTCTTATATTTTATCTCTTTTAACCTAGTACTTATTTGAAATGTTATTACAGTTTAGGTACATTGGGTATTGTGTCCTTTAGGGGGGAAATACCTTTTAAATCTTAAGTTTACCTTGCTTGCATCTTAACACATAACTCTTAAAATGTATGATGATTTTCTTTTAGTTATCCTCAGGAGAAGAGACCTGTCCACTTAGACCGAGCCTTCTTATTCAGGTAGGATATCATTTCTAGAGGAGTTCTAATCTGATTTTGTCAGTTAACTTACATTATGCTCGGCCAACACTAATAATACGTTCATAATCCTTCTTTTGTACTGAAAAAATGTTTTTTTATTATTTCATAAATTACCATTTTACTTTCTTAACTAAGTTTTTGCTTTTGTATTTTGGTCTAAGGGATGGAGTGATTTGTTTTCCCAGTATTTTCAGCGCTAACTATGTTGCCACTTTGATAATTGAGAGCATACTCTTCCTCATCTTTTCTGTGTTAATATGTAAATGTAGGTCTAGCTCTCTGTATGCATGTAAACTTTATTATTCTTTTATTTTAAATGATAGCATCCTCTATGTTAGGTGTTAGTGAATTCTTTTTCATTTACAAGTCTACTTTGTACTTTTTCTGCTTTTGTAATATTCCATCATACAATCTAAGGTGCTTTCAGCTGTAAATACCAAATCCCGGGTAGAAGGGACTGAAAACAGCAGAACATGTGTTATGTACTCACTCACTCATTGCCATTGAGTTGAAACCAACTCATAGATGACCTCCAGCACGTTTTCAGAGGCTGTAATCGCACAGGAAGAAATTGCCCAATCTTTTTCCTTCAGAACACTGGTGAATTCATATTGTTAGCCTTTGGCTTGACAGAGCAGCTCCTAATCTGGTGGGCAACAGTGGTTTCAGTCAAAGGCATCATGATAAAAAAGACCATTTTCAGAAGCTGTAAAATCACCATGGAACACAGTTCTGTCCTGATAGACAGAATTACCATGAGTCAGAAATATCTCAAAGCAACTGATGGAACTTTGCTTTAGCTGTTGTTGTTTTTTTTAAAAAAAAATTATTGTTATTAAAATTATACAGTGATTTTTTTTTTGGTGGTGGGGAAGCATCTTGATAAATGCAGCAAAATAAACTGAAGATGTCGAGGACTTAATTTTACTTGAATTTACAGTAAATACCCATAGAAGCAGGAGTCAAGAAATCAAACATGCATTGCATCGAGAAAATCTGTTACAAAGGAACTCTTTAAACTAAAAAACAAAGATACCAGTTTGAGTAGTTAGGTGTAACAGACCCAGGTCATTTTGTTTTCATCTACCTCTGATGCATAAGAAAGCTCGACAGTGCATAAGCAGACGCAGGAAGCATTGATGCCTTTGGATTGTGGTGTTATCATAGAAAAAATGAACCTGTCTTGGAAGAAGTACAAGCAGAGCTCTCTAGAAGCGAGGATGGCAAGACTGGTTTCACTGACTCTGGACATATTACTTGAAGAGGCCAGTCCTTGGAGAAGGACATTCTGTGAGGTGAAACAGAGGGTCAGGAGAAAGGAGGACAATTCCCAAGGAGATGGATTTCAACAGGGATTGCAGAACAGACTCAAGCACAGCAACACTTGTGGGGCTAATGCACGACCAGGCACTGCTTTCTTCTGTTGTGCACAGGGGTCTTTGAGCCGGTGCTAGCTCGACAGCACCTAACAATCTCTACTGACTTATCTCCCAAGAAATTGTAGGACTTGTACTCCTCAAACAAAAATAATTCAACCAAATATAAGCAAACTAGAGATGCTTGTAAGCACTCTTAGTTCACAAATTTGAATGAATGTACATTTTAAAATTCATAACCTATAGTTCTTGAAAGACGTCTGGAAGAGTCAGTCTTGGAGTCATTTAGTCATCAGTGTGTTCAAGAGCGCAGACCATTTGTGTCTCCCCTCTGCCATCCTTAATAGGATGGCCCTGAACTTTGTGCTTTGTCATTAAAGGATGACTGCAGAGCCACAGGCATCCTTGCTTCATACAGAGTTGCCCAAAATCAAACAAAAGGAAGGAGAGGTCGCTTTATTGGCAGTTGCTTTGATTGGCTTAAAATGTTTGTGTCTCCTCTTAGAGAGCTGGGCCCACAACTACATGAATAAAGTTAAAATTCAATTAATATGGTAGAAGAGAAGATGGCTGTTCTACAGGGAGCCAATAGCATCTGCCAGACATAAAAGTATCAACTAGATTTTTACTCACTCTTTGTCAAGGAATCATTTCTTTTTTCTCATATCTCCCCTTTTGCACTCAGCCTTGAGAATGTCTTGGAGCTTCGTAAATACTTGTTGGTTGGCAGATATATTGTCCTGTTGTCCAGTATTCCTTGATGCTTCTATATTCTGTGTCATCCCAAGGAATGTCATTAAGAATGTTAATGTATTTTTAAATGGATTGTATTCTAAATTCTTTTGTATCTGTTTGATAATTTGTTTCCTCACACACACATTGTATGTATTCTCCTTGATTGTAAGAAACAAAATAATATACAATAAGCCGTTAAAAATACTTACAAAATGATAAAACAGTTTTTACTACTTCCCTAGAATTCTGTATAGTTACCAGCCTAATTGAAAAGCTATATTTAAAAATTCAGAGTTTAAAAGGTGTAATTTATTTTATAAAGAAAGAAAAGTTTGTGTTTATCTATAGAAAAACTGTACTCTTTTTTTTTTCCCATCTTTCATCATAGGTGGTGCTCAATTAATGAAAACTTATTTGCAACAACTGGCTATCCTGGCAAAATGGCGAGTCAGCTTCAAATTCATCATTTAGGACACCCTCAGGTAATGTGGAAGTGTTTTGTGGTGTGTTTTGTGATTTGTCTTTTCTACTTTCCCACCAGTAACTTCACCTTTTAATATATAACTCAAGAAATGTATTAATGTCTCTGAATGTCTGCTATTACGTTAGAAAGGAAGGCAACATACTTAATTATGCTAATCATTGGTAATTAGTGTTGTAATCCAAAATGTGTATGAATGATTGAAAAACCAATGATTTATAAGCCTTACCTCAAATGAAAAATAAATCAATAGTTAAAAGAATAATTGGGGGAAATGTTCACCGCTGAGCTGTATTAGTTATCATAGAGTAATTCTATATTTTACCTATGAGGAAGTTTTTTTTTACATTGTTCCCCTGATTTCCATAAAGAACGTTAACTTATCAGTACTTTTCTTAATTTTGAAAGTCGTTTTTCTTTATTCACTTTGGAGCTTTATCGTGCCTTTCTGCTTCCCACATTTTATAGCCGATCCTCGTTGGCTCTGTAGCGGTTGGATCTGGTCTGTCCTGGCATAGAACTCTCCCACTGTGTGCCGTCGGAGGAGACCATAAGCTGCTGTTTTGGGTGACTGAAATATAACATAAATTTTTTCTGTACTTTAGGTCCTTAAAAGTGTGTATTTTTAGTACAGATTTGGGGAAATTTCTTATTTTTATATTAAATATACTATGAGCTTTAGAAATATCTGACTTGTTGCTTTTGTTAAATAAAATCTTAGTGGTTGGAAAAATTGTTTTTCTGCTCGGTTCTCTGTATTTCTTTAAATTATTATCTGTTAAGACTGTAACTGACTCATCAAGCCACTTCGCCAAAGAAGAGGTGATTAAGGAAAATATAATGCTTATTGTGTTGATACTTTTCATTTCTACTACTTTCCAATACTGGGAGAACAGATGTTGTCATTGTTGTGTGCCATAGAGTCAGAACCGACCCATAGCCAACCTCCAGAATGTTTTCAGTGGCAGTAAGTCACATAGTAGGAAATTGCCTATCCTTCTCCCATGGAGCAGCTGGTAGATTCGAACCACCTAGCTTTGGGTTTGCAGCACAGCCTCTTACTACTTGGTCACCAAAGCAGGGTATATATTCTGTTTTCTAAATTTCATGGACACATATATTTACAAAAAGAAAATAAAAACTCCTTTCACTGTTACTGTGGCAGTGGTTAAATTTATATATGTGTGTATGTATTTATTCTCTACAGTAATCTTTTTTAAGTTTGTTTCCAGTTGCTTAAAATTATAATTTTTTCATGTTTGTCACCACTGTGTTGTCTTATATGCAGAAGAATAGTATATCTGGTATATAGAATTAAACGTTTATAGTTAAATACCTTTAATAACTTCTCTAGAACTTTGCCACTTGTAGAAAAATAATTTTGGGAAAGGAGAATTCTTTTCTTTTCATTGCTCTTGTTGAGAATATTGTTGTAAGGTTGCGATGAGTATCAACAGATTTGAACCCTTAGCTGTCCTATGCCGTCCTCATCACCTCTGGCACACTAGTGCCCATTGCTGCAGTCACTGTGTCAGTCTTACCTCCTCGAGGGTCTTCCTCTCTTAACACCATTCACCTTTCCCAGCAGGCTGTCCCTTCCAAGAATAGCCTCTCCTAACAACAAGCCCAAAGTATGACCATCTTTGACTCTAAAGAGCACTTTGGCAGCACTTTTTTGCAAAACATACCTATTTGTTCTTTTGGCAGTCAGTGTTCTATTCAGTACTCTTTTCCAGCACCACAGTTCAGAGGCATCAGTTCTTCTGTCCTTTATTGTCCAGCTCTCAGCAGCATAGTAATTGAAAATACCATGGTCTTAATCAGGCATACCTTGGTCCTCAATCTGATATCATTACTCCTCAACAATTTGGATAGGTATCTCACAGCAGACCTTCCTAATGCAATATGCCTCCTGATTTCCTGACTACTGACTGTGGATCTAAGTAGAATGAAATCATTGGCAATTTCAAACCAATTCAGCAGTTCCTACATATCCACTGACTATGGTTATATTTTGAGCTATGAAGCCATTCTTCACTTTTTCCTTCATTAACATAAATTAACTGGCCCCTAAAGTTCCTCTCTAATCTTTCAGATTGCTGTTGTCAGTTTGATCCCAGATCAAAGAATAATTGCCTTGAACATTGTACACAATGTTCAAGGCAATTATTCTTTACTAGTTAAGCTAGCTCTTGTTTTGGTTTTAAAAACAATTCAGAGGATATTTTGGGAAAACGTAAGTGTTTCTGAGATGGCATTTACTTGCAATAAAACTGTTCCCCTTCATAAAGATAATTGAAATCCAGTTTATGGAAGACAGACACATAATATTTTGTGATACATCATAATACAGTCAGTCATATATAGAATTAAATCACTCCAAACTACATTCTTCAACTTGAAGTCTTCTCTGAAGTTCTATTTCCTCTTATAACACAAAGAATCACAGTGTCGTGGGGTTACGGTGAGGAATAAATTAAATTAGGATAAACAAAAACACTGAGCGTGTGTCTACCATATGCAGGTCAGAGTTTTTTAGATATTATTAATTTCTCAGAAATGTATCATTTTTTTATTTTTGATAATTTGGATATTTCTTTCCAGTTAGTGGTCACAAGGAGCTCTGGTGGCATCTTGGACTGAGCTGACAACCAAAAGGTAGCAGCAATAGATGTATAAGAATTATTCATCTTAACATTAATCAGAAAAGTAAGGAGATCATCCTTTGATTGAGTGGATTTAAAAATTGTTGTTTTGCAGAGTTGCAGATTAGAGAAATGCTGAATTCTCATGAGTAAGGACTTGTCCAAATTATAAAACCTGTCTGGTTAAATACCTACAGGGCTGCTATTTATTATTAGGGGAAGCTTCTCTAAACACATGTAATTGCTGGATGTGGTATAAATATCACATGGAGGTGGTGGTGGTATGTACCATTAAGTCAGAACTAACATATAGCTGACCCTCCAGCAGGTTTCTAGAGGCCATTGATCAGATTGCAGGAGGGGTAGACTGCCCATCTTTCTCCTGCAAAGTTACTGAAGAACTTGAAACATGTGTCTTCGGGTTGGCAGTGCAACTCCTTACCACTGTTCTCCCAGGGTTCCCTGTTAATACCATATTGTGGTGTACATATAACCATAGCTGTGTTAAAAGGAGTAAAGAAGTATTTTCCTCAAAAGAAGAAAATGGTGGTCCCATTTGCAAGTTAAATAGCAGTCCTTTGTTACTATAGACATTGTCAAGAAATGTCAGGTATGCTTTTATCTTTTAATTTGAGAAGTGAAATACACTTTAATAAATTTCAGACCTCTTAACCCTCCTTTCTTTACATCTCACACTCAGTATTATTGTTTCCTTATTGTTTCCCAACTTCAAGTACCATGAAGTGGTGAAATACTTCTTTTTCTTAGTAAACTTTATTCTGAAATATGTTTAAATTGAGGAGAAAGGCCAAAGAAAAGGGTTTAAGTGAAGAATTACTTATTCTCACTTCCTAATTCCCATTAAATAGCATGTGAGTGTACATGTATGCACACATGCCAGTTTTCATTTTCCCATGTTTGTTAGTACATCTTACAGGGTGTTTCTTCATTGAAAATAAGTGTTCCTGAGTGTTGCTTCACTTACAAACATTGTGGAAAGTTGCGGGGTGGGAGAGAAGTTGTACTTGTGTTCTAGAAATTTATTATTTAAGACTGTTGAAGAAAAAGTCAGGATATCACGAATCTGCAAGATGTCAGAGCTAAGTCCTCTTTCAAAATGATAGGATCATGAGTCCCATTTTCACTTTTATGGTTTGGCTTTCATATTGAGAACGTTTCAGTGTCTCTTCCTTGCCAGAACACAGAATCGCACACCCATGCACTCCACTTTGTTCCTTTCTTGGTAGTTTGTGGCTGCATATTGACACTGACCTAGAAATGTTCTCCTGTAGCTGTTTTAAATCTCATGTCAGTAGAGAAGCAGTTGAAATCTGGTTTGCACATTTGTATCTGGCTTTTTTTTTTCAATTGTGCAGAATCTAACATTTTTCCAGAAATACTGTGTAGAGCATTGAATTATTTTACAAAAAAAATCCATGTATGTGTTGTAAATCCTAAACTCTGACTGTGGTTATAATCCCATTTGGGAAAGGATTGTATGCCTTATGTTAACAAGGCACAGAAAGTGTCAATTCTGTTGAGAGATAGAAAATTAAGCTCAAGCTAGCAAAGGGGAAGAAAGGAGAAAGAGCGATCCCAAGGGCATGGGGATTTCTCAGTAACAATAACAGAAGCCCAGAAGGGACAAAGACCTTCCTCCACAGCCAGCAGAGAAAGCCTCCCTGAAAGCTAACTCCCTGAATGCAGACTTCTGCCCTCAGACTGTGAGACAGTAGGTTGTCATAATCATCCACTGCTACTGGTGGCAGCATCACCGGAAAAACGAGCACTTTCTGAATGTGAAGATACATGTCCAAGACTAATAATTCTAAAGAGAGAATGGTGTAGGATATAGCAAACTTAGGATCTCTTGTCCATACGGTTGCTTTGAGTCTTGGTTGGCTTGATGACAAATAACAACAACAAAAAAATGTACTTTTTTGAGAATATTTCTCAAGTTTCTCAGAAGCTCAACAAGTAAAACTCAGTTTAATCCAGGGAGCCCTGATAGTATAAGCCATAGGGAGTTCCACTGCTAATCCAAAGGGCATGCATCTCACAGTTCAAATCCACCAGCTGCTCCCTGAGAGAAACTTTGAGTTTTGTACTTTACCAGTAGCCACCTTAATCATAGTACAAATGAAAGTTGCAAAGGAAAATGACCATTATAGTGATCAAAACTTTCTCCTTACAAAACATATCCTAGATCAGATGGCTTTCTTGTGGAATTCTATTGGATAATTGGTACCAATGCCATTTAAATACTGTCAAAAGAGAAAGATTTCCCTAATTATTCTGTGAATCAAACAAAACCTTGATACTAAAACCAGAAAAATACCACAGAGAAACCACCGGCCAATGTGGCTTATGAATATAGATTTAAAAATCTTAACAAACCATTACCAACAGCATATTAAGAGTCATACACCATGACCAAGTGGTATTTATTCCAAGAATACAGGGATGATTCAACATTAGCAATCAATCAACACAATGTACCACATTAATAGAGCAAAGCAAAAAATCACATGATCATTTTTCTGTTTAAAGAAAGTGGATTTCATAAAGTCCAACACTTTTTCTTGGTTACAACACTAAAGATTGGAATAGAAGGGGAAATCCTCAAGACGTGAAAAGTCAACAGCCATAATTATATACTTAATAGAAAAAGTTTCCTCTTTGAAATTAGGAAAAGGCAAGTATGCTGGCACGCCTGACTTCGTTCAATAGTGTTTTAGAAGTCTTTGCTAAAACAAACTCAGACTCAATGCCTTGGCCTCACAATCAACTCATAGCTGACCCTCCAGTGGATTTCTGTGGCTGTAAATTTCACTAGATGGAAGTGCTCATGTTTCTTTTAGGGGGCTGAACCTTTGGGTTAACAGCAAATCCCTAGGGAGTATGCCAGCAGAGCAATAAGACAAGAAAAAGAAAGTTATCCACACTGGAAAGTGTGCAAAATTGTCTCTAGTTAAAGATGACACCCTACATACAGAACATGCTATCGTGTGCCATCAAGTTGGAACCAACTCCGCTGACCTTCCAGTCTGTTCGCAAGGGAAGAGATGACCCACTTTCTCC